TTAACTCTTATCGAACTCGTTTAAGTTCATTCATTATAAAGATATTATCAGTAAATGTTGTATTCCTTTTACATGCAATACATACGACATAATCAAATAGAATTTGTATTACTTCATACAATTCTATAATTACAGTTTCATAGAGAATCTTAAGCTCTAAATTCTAATCCAACTGTTTACAATTTAGCAACAACTGTAGTTAATATAAATTAAGGACTATCGGGTTTATTGTGATGCAATAAAGACTATAATCCAATGTAGATTAAATATTCCTGTAAAGAGGATGGGAGCCGCAATTTGTCTGGTGATAAATCCAGCCGCGGACAGATGCTTCCTGCAGTAAGTAAACTTGCGCCTTCTTAACCCCTAACTTAAACATTATACTATGTAAGTTTTATAAGACGTTCCCCGAACTTTGGAAATCGGTTAGACCGTTCATGTTTATCAACAATGATTGAGAATACAATTTAGTTTGACATTAAGAAAGTATAACGAACTTTCAAAGGATTTACTTCTAAGTTTCCGATCTGCATAGCATCATCAATTATGAATGTTCATTAATCACGTATAAACCTTTATTTCAAATTTTAAATATGAGAAAATATTGAATAATATTTTTGTCTTGACTTTATTTTCCCGTCACTCAATATTACGTAGGTATATTGCACAATTTTCTTGATACTCGCATATATATGTATGTCTAAACTGAATAGTGTTTTCCAAGTTTTTGATACCTACTCTTTGTATAGCAGCCACCGGAACAGGTGACTTTTGCACGGATGCATCTGCAAAAAAGTAGCGCTTTGAAAAATAGTCGCCTTTTCTCAATCTCTGTTCACACTTTTGACACGCCAAGACGATTCTATTGGTTGTTGCAAAAGGCTCATACTTTGATCATTTTTACAATCCTTTTGACGGGTATATTGCATTTTATTTGTTTTTCGATTTCCTGTTTTAGAATGCCTGCTATACTCAAAGATGGTTTGCAACTTATAAAAATTGGTCTATATCATGCAAGAGTTGCCATAGACATCGCGATTTATGTTACATAATCCGAGAAAAATTTTCGTGTCTTGTGAATAACGTCTGTTTGTTAAACAATTTTCTCCATGCCTTAAATTTTATTTCATATTAACTTGCTAATTCAACTGTATCGTTTTTTATGAGCTTCATACTTATACCGTTATTGTGTTATAAATAGTGATTTAAAAAACACTCTTGCTCAATCCAGAAACATGTTCCGCGATTTTTTTGTCCCATAATCGTACATAACGATAAAAATAAAGTAAATTAATGTTGAAATAATCTTACATCTTCATATTCAATACAGTCAAAGAGTAAAAGTACATCACTTTAGTCATAGTATCAGTAGATGAAGGGAACCTAGCAACAATATTATTCCAGAGCATAATATATGGAAGGACAAATATTTGGAGGGTACAATGTAAGTGTAAAACGATCACGTACCGAGTATAAGTATGTCTGCACGAACGCTGCATTAGCTGAATGCGGCTACACTGCGGCTCCCGACATACTACTATTATGTATATTTATTGTTGAAGAAATATCATATGCTGTTATATTGTTATCGGCTTTGATATTGTCATGTTTATTTGACATTATAATAGCAACGTCGAATGCAGACTTCGGTGACTTTTGCCCGAGGGAGGGAATGGGGAGGTTCACTTTTTGATTTCTGTGCACCCTGTATAAAATGTAACCATTTAAATGTAAGATATTTTGTAACATCGCAACATAGTTTTAGGTCAAAGTAATTTATTTCGTTTCACGTAAACAAGTGTCATGTTATTCTCGATTGACGTCTGTGTTCTGTTCCACAAACAGGGATCCCGAACTAATCCGCTCCAAGTCGATGTCTCTGATATATCTTAAGATTATTTTCGATCGCTTCAAAGGACGCGATCAAATTCTTTGATATCTGACTTGTTCCATATGACATGAACAACATCTGGTCTTTTCAACTGGAACTGTCAATACCATTTGAAATTTATTGATGACTTAAATACATTCTATTTGAAGTGGACTCTGTGTGACAGTTAACAGATTTAGGTCGAATTTATCAATCTAATAAATCAACGAATTACAGAGTTTATTTCAATATACGTATATGTTACTATGAACATTCTGGACGGCGAATGTAAGATTATTTATTTAAGTCGTCGGTTTAGAGTCTTGAGTGTAGCATAAAACCCTTCCAGAGCTTTATATGAATGTTTCAAATTATGTAGCATACGGTTTCGTGATATTTTACACGGCCAGGGGTCCGGACCTTTCCGATTCAATACGGCTGGGAGGTCGCTCGTAAAACGGGAGACGTATTCTGCCACTCATGAATACCTTAGTGGCTCAGACCACTTTAATAGGTAAATAGTGGAGACAGGGTACTGGGATAACCAAACTTCTGTACCCAGAGGACGCCTGTTGGCTTTGAATTAGAAACTGTTGCCTGTAAAGTTTTTGTGGTCATGTCATATTCAAAATTTTTAGCATCTTGTAGAAAGAAAGTTTTCTAAAGAAACACAATCTCCTCGCTAGCTGCGTCTATCAAACTGAATGTATTCACAAAGGCGAGGCGCCTCGATATCATCTGATCTTCGGATATCGTTAAAAGCAAATCAGAATGCGTGAGATGTAACACAAACAACCCTTTCACAGTCTGGAGTATTGAGGATCGAATTCTATTTACTAGGGGCAAACTTTACTAAACTAACTCTAACATTGAACGCATCCCATAGGAAATATTGTTCAAAATAAAGCTGTTTCGACATCATTCAGTTATTACATTGTATTTAACACCCGTATTTTTAAAGTAGGTAGTTAAAAAATATATGTATACATATATGAATATTCTTTTTCGTCTTGTTGTGATAAATTGAAATGGATATTGAATTTTTTAAGAGGTATAGTGACCCTCCGGCGCCGTCCCAGTTTCAATTCAAATAGACACGTTGAATTTTTGAAGTTCGCTCAACCGTGAGTCTAACTTGTTGCGGATGCCTATATATTGATTCACTGTTCATTTAACATTTCAATTAATATTGCTATTCAAATAATAACATTATTACCACTCTGTTAGGTTTCAATTTATATTTTAATCAGTTCATAACAATCTAACTTATTTTATCTAATTCTTTTATCATTATTATATTAGTTTTTCTTTGTGAGATTAAACATTTAGTTATATAATTTTGATATCCTATTCCATCTTCTAAAAGGAAGAAACAAAGAAAAGAAGTTTTAATATTTTAATACTGTTATTAGTATATATTTTTTTGGTTAGCGCTATTTAGAAAGTCGGTTAAAAAGCGGAAATGAGTACTCGAAAGTGGAGCTAAGCTAAGAACAGGAGTACGGCGGTGGTTTATAAAGGGCTTTAAGGCCAGGTCGACACGAGTGGATGCAAAGAAGCCTCCACACACCCTCAGCTCCCGCCGCGGGGCACTAGTTAGTGACGTTTTTAACATGTTAATGATACCTTATCATATATGTACGAGTAGGTACGTGTGTGGGTGTCATGCGATGGTATTCACGTGGAACTAGGTGATCATTAACTGACTTTAAACACTTGTATGACTGTAATATAACAATATGTTAAAAATATTATGACCTAAAAAAAAAGGAATAAAATTGACTTAAAGTCTACATTTCCAATTTTTGTTTAGTAGTTATTGGTTTTAGAGTATTTGGAGACCTATTCCTGTAGTAACTTTGATTTTAATAAGTTATATATTCTGTACAAAAATGTTGTTCTCTGAACGTACAATGGCAGTAGAGTAAAACGGTAAGAAATAAATTTCCCCGGAGATACTGCAATTGGACTGATTTCAAGATGATTTAAATCTTGAAATCTTGGCAGTCTAAGTCATGTATCATAACTAATAAATTTGTTATATTAAAAAAATATTTCAAATACAATTATGTAGCATTTCACATATAAATGATATTATAGTCTGAAATTTCTATGAGAATATACGTGAGAAAAAAAATATAATAAAGTTTATTAAATATACAGTCCGAAGTATCAGTACTCGGTATAATACTTCTCATATTTATTATATCTTATTTGTTTAGATATCCTTTGTTCTAATAATATTATATGTTTCATTCCTAGAGCAGAATCGAATTTAATTTACAATCAATTCATTCCATACATTTCGTTCAATAAGTTTAATTGATCCTTCGTGTACATGAATTATTAATTATAAAAATATCACTAGACAAGTGTACTCTCTCTCTCGCTGTATAAAACGTACGCACATAAAGCATTCTTTATAATTTTTTTATCCGAGTGAAAACCCTTTAATAAAACGTTCCATAGCACTAAATTGAAAAAAAAAATCTACAGAGGCACGTACTGCGTTTGCTGTTTATATTAAAGTCTGACTGGTTTTGTACTAAAGGGTTTTGCTTATGAACGCGCCAACAGCGGTTCTCATTTAGTTTTATTATGTTGCTTTTGACTACGTACATGAGGATGTTTAATAACTTCTTTCGTCTGCTTGTTCCGTTCATATAAATTTCACGTTTAATAAATGTTTCTACTTTTTTTTATTTTCTCATAGTGATATTCGCTTCGCCGTCTCCGCTTTAATAATGATGGATTAATTGGGTCATGTTTTGTTTTCGCTTTATATGCGTTTTGTAAACTCCTGTCGATTAATTGTTTTGTGACTGACTTGTGATGCCTTTGATTTTATTTTAACTTACTTCTGATAGGGCGAATATTGTTTCACAATTTAATTTCCGTTCAAAATCAATTTTGATATAAATTTAAGATAATAAAGAAGATTTTGAACGCTACAGAAGCCTTTGTTTAGAAGACGATTCAAAAATCAAACGTCCGTCTTTGTACACGGAATTCATGATACATTTACGTAATATTAAAGTTAAATATGAAGTGTTAAAATGTATCTCGTCGGTTCCTAATCTCTGGGTTCAGTAATACTTGTCATAATGATCTAGCTCGCTCGTGAAACTATTTAATTAGCATCAGTGTTAGTAGTGTGGGTAGTTCGGGAGGCCGTGTCCCGCGGTGCAGGCATCTCGTGTGAATGACGCTGAGTGTGCCGCTCGGCGTTGTTAAAACTCAAGTCGTGTTGAGCCTCGCGCGCTAATTGTGCTCCTCGTACACCCCCCCTCCCTCCCACTCCACCTACTGCTCTATACTTCTTGTTTCCAAGACTCATTGTATGTGGAAAAACTTATAACTGTTGACATTGAGCTCTTACACTGAAGCAAGACTTAGATATGTATGTCTCTTGTTAATGTTTTTGATACAGTTTTGTCTTGAAAGAGATTATTATATTAGAATCCATCATTACTATTATAATTTTCGTGTAATACAATGAAAAACCTTATAAATTAAATCGATTGTCTAAACTCGTGTGGAACGTATGCAGTCGAACATAAAAGCCAGCGTGTAGTGTAATGGTGACAAACAAAAAGGTCGATAGTGAAACTAATAAATGCCGATCCGGTATTGGTTCAATAGCAGCTGCAAGCTGTACGGAGCGCGACAAAACCCAAAGCTAGATTCGTACCGCAACAAGCGTGCTGAAGTTTAATTCAATCGTGCCTGTGGGTGGGATTGCGGGAGCAAAGTGGAGAGATCGCGGGCGTTGTTAATTACAACTGGTGCGGCCACACATCGTGAACTTTGGCGCCCAAAGTGGGGCCCGCTGAATTTATCTTTTTACAACGACGGGCCTTGCAATCTAGTTAAGTACGCTTCGGGCTAATAGTTTGCCTTGTTAGCCTTGATTTTTTTTTTCAATTTTGTTGTAATTAGCTTAATTAAAAGGATAAAAATCATTTGGCCAAACTTTCAATGGCTTTTTTGGTTACGCTTTTTATTATTTTATTAACGTTCACATGAATATGAAATATTCACGTTTGAGTAATAAAAGTTATCAAAATATATAGTGAGTTTTCGGAATTCAAATCAAAAATTTTAATGCATTAATAAAGTTAAATAATTGAAAAGGATTCCACCGATAAATAGCAATTCCCCAATTACATGTATATAACTAAATCAATACATAACCAATGGTCTTAATTACGGAATGAATTCGATTACAAATATATTTTCACTATTATATGTAGGTATATAAAGGCTTCTCGTACAGCGTATAGCTATGCTCTAATTCAATATAAGCTAAGCGTGTTCGCGATTTCAATTTAAATGTTCCTATCGTATTTCAAGTTCCCGAGTCGAATACCTCAAACATTCCCCATCCTTGTTAGAAGACACGGAACCTCTCCCAGCGTCCTTTATCATGTAAATCGAGATTTCCACGAGCTCCAACGTCATGGGTACATGTTAAACGGATAGCTTATTCACTCATATATTTTACACTTGACTTTGGACTTTATTTAATAACATTCATAGTTTTTAATGTTACTTTGTATAATATGTACACAAATAAATATGTAGACTTTTTTATAAGTTTATTTATTAATTAAAAGTATTGAATTTAATATAAGCTTATTAAATCAACTGTCACTCAAGACTAGGGGGTTCTTATTATTTGGTCCGTCCCTAGTTCAACCGGCTTGTTTATAAAATACAAAAGCTGTCTAAAATTGGTTCTCACTTTGTGTAATAGGCTGTTATAGGATCGATGTTGGGCGCCAAGTCCATAGACATAAATACGCATTAGTGCCAACCCTAGGCGACTTTACGACTGGGAAATACGAGAAGGTAAAGACGTCCCTCTTTTGTTAAATTTATATTTTAAATGTTTTAAACGAGACATTTTATTCTATGATATTATTAATTATTATATTTGTTACTGATACTTTATTTTATCATTTTGTTAGGTAAGGGTCTTGGTAGTATATTTTTCTGGCTCAATATTTCCAAGTTAACATCTAAGTTTTCTTTTAATAATGGATTCAAGTCAGCTTAAGCAGATCTGAGAGAGGAACATTTAAATAACGACGACATCTTTAAAGGTGTCACGAAGTTTCTTAGAATTCGGTAAATTGAACCGATGTATCTTCTTGATGTTTTAATTAGCTTTGTCTCTAAGAATTCATTCAAGTACACGCATTTATAGAATTAATTGCGGTAAAAGATTTAAATGTGAATCTAAATATTATTATATATAGTATGAGACGTCTGTCAGTACGAAATTAAGTGAGTTTGTTGAGTGTAAACAGGGATAATCCTTGGCTTGACTGTGATTAGCATAACGCGTCAGTCGGCGCAAGTCGTAAGAGCCATCTGCAATTTAAATCACGAGTCTCGGGGACTCCGTACGTCCCCGCTCTCTGCTTAGCTGCGTTCCAGCAATTCGAGATTTAACGCGATTGGATAGCTCCGAGGATTGCTATACATATTATGTTGATTACGTTATTTATAATCGATGGATCGAATTTGTTGAACCTATCGTCTTACAGATTGTGTCTCTTATGACCTTATACATGCTCCGACTTTAGTGAAGTGTAATTACGATTACAAATACGAATATACAATACTTATTAACATTATGAACTTACTATTATGGCCAAAAAACTAAACTTATTCTTTGTAAATTCACATCTCGTCTGCCCGTGATCACGGTTGCTATAAAGTAACCGAAACGTCAGGAGTATGTTGTTTTAAAAAAAATTAAGCACGCGTAGTATATCCGAAAAATATTAGTTAAATTTTAATGGATACTTGCGGAAGTCTTAGATCTTATTATTATGACCAAGTTCTGTTACTGCTAGTCTTCTCTATTTTCTACTCAACTATAATATGATTTAAAATACTTACAACATTTATGTGAATTAATAAATAAAAAAATGAATAAGATTCAAAGTTTAATATAAATTTAAATATTAAAAAAGTTTAAATATTAAATTGTTATAAAAATATCTGAAATCTATTTAAAGAGGTTTTATATTAATCAGAAAGAGAAATACTTTTCTTACAACAATATCCCGAGTAAGCAAACAAGAAAAATAAACAATGTGGAATACTTGGAAAGTACAAAGCTTCAATTTAAAAACAATGCCGGCAAAGTAAAAATTCTTATGCAACCTATAAAAGTTAAATATAAAAATAAAACTGAGTTCCAGAACCGATAAGATTGTTAACTAAACGTTGTTAGATCTTCAGTTAAAGCAATCTCGTCACCTGAAACTGTTTTGAATATCAGATTGAATGAGAGAAATCCTCGTATCCTGGGTGTTTATGGTCAATAGTTCTCAAACCGTCTTCAAGTAGGAATGCTTGTGGAAGGGTTATTAAGGGGTCACAAAGACCCGCACCTTATTACGTAAGCCTAACAAAATAACCAATTAGCGGTAATTGTTACGGTTGTCCTTTATATTTCGCTTCATCCTTTAAGCCTTTGTTGTTCGCTCCCTCGAGTTAAATATTGTTTTGCTTTTAATATTCCCTTCCCTTTATGTATTATAACATTATCTAGGTGTATTGTAAGGATATCGTTCATCGCCGTCATTTGTAACCGAATCGTTCAGAGGTGAAGGAGCTAGTGATTTCGTTTAAAACGTATTTATAGCTGTAATAACTCAAATTGGGATTATTGGGGCCATTGTTATTGAAGTGAACGGGGGCGATTAATTATCCATTGAACATAATTTGGGAGGACAGCTGAGAGAAGTCTGTGTCGATCGGTTCCATCATTGAATTGTGGTGGGAATACTAATTGATCACCTATTGATAAAAAACACTCGTTTCTATAAAGAATACATACAAGCACAAAGTATACATATACTAGTGACTGATATTTCAATTTCAAACTGTATAAACTCTAAATGAAACTAATATTTGTCGGGTTTACTACGCGTATTTTATTAACAGCAACGGTTTCTGAAAAGTAACCGAAACGTCGGGAATATGCAAGTTTTTAATATAAAAAAATACGCGTGGTACTAATAATATTAGTTGTATTTAAATGGATACTCGCGAGAGTCTTAAATTTCATTATGTATAGACTCTTAGGCCATATAATATAATATAATCATGTAACTTTATATACATATACATTTATATTTTTATTTAAAAATATAAAGGAATCACAATGATTAATTCTCTGTCGCCAAGCTCTTAAACTAAATCCCTGTTCCGTTGTGATAAAGGTGCAAAGACATCTTATCTCTTAAACCTTTTTTGTTCCTCTAACGGACTGAACCGGGAACCTAGTTGAAATATAAACTTCGTGTCCGCTAACAAGATAACTATATAATTAACTATTTAATTTAACTCCTCTCTGTCATTATAAATATTTGGTTTAAGTTTTTGTTCTTTACTCTTTGTTTAAAGATCATAGTCTGTCTTTTAAACAAGTTATAAAATATGCTTATAAAAGTAATCTTTGTAATATGTTGTGTATATCATATATTTCTAAGTTAAATTAATAAGTTACAAGTGGGTTCAGATTCCTCTTGTTTTTGTATTGTTTTATTAAATAAGTCTTCCAAGATATTTATTGTCAGCAACTTCCCCGAACAGTTGGTGCGAAATATCCTTTTAATGAACGTCGGAGTGTTGGGTCGTCTGCAATTTAGATTAGTCCTTTAATTAAATTAACATTATGATCCCTATCTCTGGAGACCAGGTGCTCGGTCGTATTGCCCTGTTAGAACTCTTTCCGCTCTTTTGCTTTCGCCATTTTAATTCTGCGATGCGATGAAAATTCCGTCGTTACGGTAAATTTTAATTGGTCCGTCCATTATTTTATCATAATTTTGCTTTAAGCGAATGTTTTCGGTTGTAAATGAGCTCATTTAATAGTGTACAACTGTGTTTCGTGCTCTCTCTTTTTCCGCTCTGTTTGTTTTGGTTTATCTATTTGTGAAGCATCCAGTATCGAGATCTCGGTCGACCGAAAAATTAGAAATATCTCTATCCGATAGCATTTTGGTGAAGCCGACGGCTACTTGATTACTTTCGAATCGCAACTTCTATTGTCTTGATATCTTGTTTTGTTTTTCTTACTTCGGGACTGCTACGTTTTGTTTTATGGTCTTGTAAAAATATCTCAATTTTCACTAAATTTAACATCACTTTAAGAATGAGAATCGTGTTAGCATGGAAAATTTATTGAATATAAATTACGAAACGCTAAAATTAAAGAGGACGCTAGCTTTTACGTTGGTCTCAAGGTGTGCAATTACAGGCTATTATTTTTACTTTATGGCGGATAAAAGTAAAGTTTTACCCCATTAAGGTTTTTCCCGGCGTGAGTTAGTCTAATGGAGGGAAAGGGCGAACATTGTTATATTCTTTGGGAGTATCCGGTGAATATTATATACTAATATTATAATATTTATGGAGATATATAAACACATAGATATATATATTGATATACATAAATGAATTGATAATAAATAAATGTGTTGTAAAAATTTCAATGATTGTTACTGACATTGACACGGGAAGAAAAATGATCTTCTTAAAGTTGAGCCAGCCTCACTCCAACTTACCGAACAAATATTTTATTATATCTCCCGAAGCCCCTCAATTCGATCAAATCGGAAACCTATTTACCATATTCCTGCTACTGGTGGATTTTTAAACTTCCTTTAACCTGCTATTACAATAAAACCGTGTCTTATTTGAATTTCAAAACACTTCTGCGGCAAATTGAAATCATGTTTTTGTAAACAATTCTCCCGCTTCGGATCATCAGAAGTGTATTAAATTAAATACAGAAAATCGTTAAAGATTCCATTTATTATTGTAACTCCTATTAATTCTTCACAATGTACGTCGCTTTACGATGGATCTGGGATACTTGTAAGACTTACGATTTGTTGATACTTTGCTTTATTATTTTCACTTGTCGTAATAAATAATATCTACTTTTAATTTTGTTAGCCTCGATAATGAAATATGTTTCATACTAATGCTTCTATCATACATCTTGTATTCACTTGACACTTTCATCAGTCCAAAACAATAGGCCCTTCCTTATACAGGGTGACTGGTGAATTACTATCGATATTTAAGGACGTGATATTTGACGATCATATATGACAAAATAAAAATTAATATAACATAAATATTAATAAACTTCTAAGTAAAGTTAACCAAAAGTTATGTAATTAATTACGCATCGTATGAACACCCTACAGATTAGGTATACACACACACTCACACAGACGCGGCGGCGGCGTAGTGTTGTATCAGCACGCCGCCGCACGCGTCCACACTTGGAACACTTGGAACGTGTACACACTTTATTTATTTATACGGAAATTTGGTCAAAAATTAAGTACCTATTTTTTTTACATAATTCGAATGAGAATCATGTACCGAGTATGCTCCTTAAATATTGATAGTAATTCACCAGTCACCCTGTATATGTTCGTACAAATCTGTTTCAAAAGTTTAATCCCAATCTATAGCCGTTTAACACAAGTTACAACATCTGTCTTTACTTCCTCAGTACACATTGGTGGTAAAAACGATCCCCAAATCATTTATAAACAGTTCGTGGTGTTTTATGACTATCTGTGTAAGCCTAAATGAGGACATTTTCGTCTTTGATTTTTAATTTCAAAGTAAACAGTCGGCCTCTGTGTGTTAAAGAGAATTTATTCTTTGCTTATTATTTTTAAATTTTTGTCGGACTCGTGACATTTAATTTGAATTCCTCCTTGATTCGTTGTTTCAAATGGACCGTGTTCATTGTTTCATTTTTTCGTTTCATACGCCGGTGACGGCCGGTGTCAATACAGGGGCTGCCACGAGTTGATATATTTTTTGCTGCTCTAGTTGAATGATTTTTTCAATCGTACTTACTTTTTATTTGCTTTTTAATCTTTTAAACTTGTTTTGGATTTAGCTTTGTTATTTAATAGTGTTCGATGTTTGTATGCTTGCATAATATGAATCTTTGCTTGGCTTTATATCAAACTAGTTTTTGTCCGCGACTTTGTCTGCTTTACATTTAAAATTAGAAATGTATAGTTGACCGGTTGAACTCTGTTCCTTCTCTGTAACTTAGTAAATAAGAAGATTTTGGATTTATATATTTTTTTCAATCATAGGAAAAGTATCCTATGTCCTTTACCTAGTTCTAAACTATCTATCCACCAATTTTCAGCATAACCCGCAATAGCGATGAGTTATAAATAGTGTAACTTATTCGACTTTCTTTCATACATATATAAAGATTAGTGAAAATGTAGTAGTATTGAGCTCGTATATTTGGTGGTTGAGTTTAATATTTGTAGTCTAAAAGAGATACATATAAGCGTATGATATCGGGCGAGGCCCGCCCGTTTACAGTTCAATCGGTTCGCTGCTCCGCGATCGATCGTGTGAATGCACCTTTATAGTATTTTTTTTCCTATTTTTGTATTTTCATTTATTTATAGGCCGCTATTGAATTTACTCTCCTATATGACCGCATACGTGCGGGCTATCGATTATTTGGTAGATGGAATTTATGATGTAGAAATTAATACGAACATTCAAGCCGCGTATATAACGCCTTTTATATTCAATTACAGTGAATTTATTTATTTATATACATAATATTTATAAATAAGCCAAAATAGACATACGAATTTTCAGTATTATAATATTCAAATAATAAACTTGTTAACGAAAAGAATTTAAAGAGTATCGTGTACACCAAGATTCACATACCTATTGTATATGAATCTTTTTTAAAGACTAAGAACTATAACTAAAATTAAAATAGAAGAATTTGGAGAATTATTGATTGAAGTATAGCTTGAGTTAGTCAAAGTTAAATCCTGGCGATATTTTTTAAACGTTTTCTGACTGTAGTAACATATGCTTGGTCATCAACGTGATAAACTTTCAATGTTCAATTATTATTAGTCATCATTGAGTATCTATGATAGTTAACACAAAGGAACACTGTGTCCATTGCATTAAACCGAATCGTTGGAGCCTAATCGGTGTTTCTGAGCGGAGTTATTTGTAAAGTTCACTTTGACCAGTCATGCATGTGTTCCCTGTCATGGTGTATGTGAGGTAATACAGTTTGAGGGAGACGTTTGTTGAGAACATTTGATTTGAAGTCACTCAATGTTCAGACGAACAGACTATATGGCTTCAGATGAACTCAAAAATGAGTGATGCAGGTATGATGTAAGAAGATATTTGTCTCAACAGCATATTTTTGATACTTAACTAATAAAAAACTCTTCGGCCTTCCTTAGATTAGCTTGAGAATATATTCATATAAGTAGATTAAAAGTAAGATATATTAAAATGTTCATTTGCTGAATTATCTATTTAATAAATATTAAAAGGATCTAAATTCCATTTCATAGTACAGTATGCTCATGTTTAAATTCATTACTTAGCTTTAACATTATGTCTTCATTGATAGCCAACTTTCCAGCTAAACTTATATAAACACGTGAACTATAAAAGTTATATAGTTCTGTTTGCGTTCACTCTGTTTAAACTATGTGCTAGTGAGAACCATTCATCCTACAACTACTCGTACATACACAGTAACCGAAGACTGCAGTTTTGTATAAAATGTAGACCATCCTAACTTGCAAAATTTTATTAGATGTTTCCTTTTGCTGGTTCTCTTTGTAAAGTTTAACATGTAATGTCTACATGTAGAATTCAGAACCGCCGCAAAACCTCCATTCCAGACGAGTGAAATAATTCATATGGAGTTGAACAAATTGCCTGTTTCTATTCCATTGGGCTGAATACTTAATATTCTTTTTCGTCGCAATAATGTCAAGCGCGATGTTATCTGACGCGGTGCGGGGATCGAGTGTTCCTATCTCTTTTGAAGTCGAGAACGCATACAATTTTGATAAGCTTTTAATGAAACTACGCTTCATCACTTAGAATAATTCGAGACGGAATTTATTAATAGCTCGACTGGACTCTTTGAAATGAGATTATAAAAATAAATCCTACTTGAGAACCAACAGCGGAAAATTTATTGCGAATTAATTATGACGTGAATTTATGTATATATTTAAATTTAAAAATATATACGATTTTTAATGTGTTAAATATTGAATAATAATTTAAGGGTGCAAAAATAAACGTCACTATCATAAGCGTCACCTAAAGTCGTAAACGTCACAAGTGTCACGCGTGTCACGTAAAGTCAGTTATGTGAGTGATGTCAAATGTGGAAACACCTTTTGCTAGGAAGGCGTGTATGAAACACAGCTCAGTGGAGTGGTGTGAGGGATTCGTGTTCAACGGAGTGTATAATGTAGGAGGACGAGGGGCATTTTCAGTGACCGGCCACTGAAATATGCGACGCTGTATATCGATGCCGCTTAATACGACCATGTTAATAATCAACTAGCTCGTTGCTTTGACGTACGTTTGTCATACTGAATCTATTTAACATGCGCTCAGGGATTAAGGGATGATCTCTGTTCAAACAACTGTTTATTCTATGATATACAAACGTCATATATGTCTATATATACATTATAAATGTTTGTATTTCACGGAAGTGTATATTACCGCCGTAAACTCTCGGCCTGGTCCCATTAAATATTAAAGGTGACCGAAATAAAAATACCGATATGGGGAATTCCCGTGCGTTCGACCGGAAAATAGCCGACATAAAGGTCGGACATTCTGCTTCGGAGCGGGTACGGAAACGATAAAATATATATGAGATCCACCAGCGCCCTTCACTGTGAGAGACGTAATCTTATATCGCTTTGAAACATTTTTTATATGAAACGTATCATTAATTACTAGTACCTCTGAATATGCTGATGCATTATGCTGAGTGATTCCCGCAATTTCACGGCCTATATGATTTATAATTTTGACGTCAAAATATTTACAAGCAAAGCATTTATAATATGATTATATTATTATCACATTTCATCCTGAAAAGTTCAAAACGTTATTTGTTTTTTAATCACAAGATGGCGGCTGGTTTTACCCGGGTTAAATGTCCATAACCTGCACGCAATCCGGATAAATAAGGATTTCTGTTTCATTTCATTAAACTGACCAAATGTATTAAATGTTTACAAAGGCAAAGATTTATGAAGAATGCCGCTTGAGAATTTCCCCTTTATGTCGGTTTCCAACGAATGCCTTTGTCTGGTGAAGCAATCGTAAATACTTTGAGCTGCTATTAAAAAGAATTTTGTTTTAATTACACTCGGTTGATTAACCTTCATTTATTTTATATATTACTATATACTGTATGAGTGTTTTCGACTCGTTTATATAAACATATTGTAATTTATCCCCAGGTGCGGACACTGTTTGTCAGCGGACTGCCAATGGATGCGAAGCCTCGTGAACTTTACTTGCTTTTCCGAGCATACGAAGTGAGTATACTCATTTGAATTAAACGCATCATTTGCATCAATTTTACATAAAACACATGATAGATAGAATTTGTTTTCGACAGTACTTTGATACTGCCAATATATGTATGTAAATATAAATTTGATACTGTATTGTATGGTATACGTATAGTAGACCTTGATTGATATTGGTACAATCGGTTCTGGCGATAACGTATCAAATTGGTGTCTGGCACGAATGGTACCACCTTCTAAAACTTTAGGGAGTTTGCCCTCATCGCGTGACTGGCGCTGGCATTGTACCTGGTACCTGCTATGATTAGAGAATTAAATTTCGTCGAAACTGATTTACTATGTCATGATGACGGCTATGTAGGGAAAATTGGAAGCGGTAGTAATTTTCTTTATGGTTCACGGTACGGTTTAAAGTAATTTCGTCATTGTGTTACTAATATGAATGTTGCGAGATTGTTATAGTATTGTCCTTTGTATTTTTTATATAATGCTTGTTTTTTTTGAAGCAAATTATGTTAGGGCTTTATTAGTACGGAGAACTCAGAATTCGTATTAATTATTAGGTTTATTGTTAGTAATTAAGCAACTATAACTTTTAATAATTTTCAGGGCTACGAAGGTTCTTTGCTAAAAGTCACGAGCAAAAATGGAAAAACTGCCTCCGTAAGTACTTTAAAACTAATTAATGTTAATTAATGTGTTGTTAAAGATTAAATAATTATAACATTACTAGCGATATTTTAATAAGACAAAGACTTGGTAAATTTTTGCATTTGTTTATTTGAAATAGTGATTATATTTATCAAACCGAGTACGTTTAATTGTCGCATCTGTGAAGTTTGTTTGTTGTGTACTAACAGACAACTTGTCGTTAAAACAGTAAGTAGTTTGATATCACTACTAAAGTGTTTAGTAGTTTGGTTTATCTACTCATTTATAGAGTGTGAATGTGTGTTTGGGTTATGTATAGATCGTACAGTCTTTCATGTGATATTGTCAATGGTGTTGTGTTTTTTGCAGCCGGTTGGGTTCGTCACATTTCACACCAGAGCTGGTGCCGAGGCAGCTAAGCAAGATCTTCAGGTTAGTACCACATCGAACACTCGACGTATAGTTATATAATACAAAATAAAACAAATAATTTAATATCTCCAAGTAAACTACACCAAGTAACTAACAAACAACTAATGTTAAACAACTAATGTGTATTATGTGTGAGGTAAAGAACAGTTGTTACAACAGACAATGTACTGCATAATGATAATTGAACGCTTACAGAACACAAAATACAAATATCACGACAATACATTGCAATAGAAGGACATAGTTGAACACAAGAAAAGAATACGCTAATTGTAAATACTGAAGAACAATAACGCACGGTGTTACTAAACCTTTTCTCATCACATGCCTCAACACAGCCAAAGAGCACTATAGATAATATTTTCATTGTAGACTTGGAATAACATTCTCCTGAATCGTGTAACCGCATCGTAAGTTATGCTAAACCCATGCACATATCGAATAGGCCACGTCAACTCATCAACTCGGAGCAATTAAGCTCTCAATCGCAGGATATTTGAGAGGAATCTGTTAGGTTTACGTTGTATATACGCAACTGCATGTCACCGTTTGACAGATTTTTGATGTCACACCCCCGAGCACCGTGTTACGGCACACTGTCAGGCGCTGTCGCGAGCGTAACGAACGTTCAGCTTCTGTCCGAACGATAATCTGACCGTGACACTTGATTAGTAACGAATTGTAATCTAACATCATCGATACTCGGGTCGCAAAAGAAAGAAACATGCCAAAGAAATTTCAAAGTCATATAGGGACACATAATACGTGACGTGCTCCTTGCTGGACTGTCATATTGTTGGGAGTCCTCGTCATTATATCGGAGCGCCGCAACGCTCGCGGCTGTTCACAGCAGGGTGTCCGGTTCGACCCCGACATGCCGCAAACCATTCGGCTGGAGTTCGCTAAAAGCAACACGAAGGTCAGCAAGCCGAAGCCGGCAGTTGCCACAGCCGCGCCAGCCGCACACCCTGCATTGATGCACCCACTCACTGGACGTAAGTACCACACACACCGCCCGGCGCAAGCTCGATTGTCCACGTTGATTAATCCAATGAATAACAGCAAATCACTACATCCAAGTTTACCATACATATTGAGGTGATTTATTGTTCTTCGATTGTTAAAACGCCAACACGGCCGAACAGAGTTCCACACAATATACTTATGTACTTAATATAATATGCTTGTTTATGTATCTAGTAAGAGTGATGGCGTGTCGAGCAGACTTAAACGTTGGCCAAGTATCTGTAATCGCTTACACGTTCCACGCAAAGCCTAGCTCCGCAAGGCTATACTTATCAATTGATCTTCCGGGTTCTATCCACCTTCTAGTCACATGTTTTCATGACATACTTCTATCATATTTTCCTGGTGTAACGAGGTACAGACTATACTATGTAACAATTTATTTTCCGGCGTATAGGAACCGTGAAAACATGTCACGGGTATTGTAAATAGACTTATTATAGCTGCTTAATTTGTATTTGGGTGTTTTTTTTTGTTTGTAATACGTTCGATGATTGTGCAGACTTAGCTAGTCCCTTCTTCCCCGGAGGAGGCGCTGAACTATGGCATCACCCGTTAGCTTACGGCGGTGAGCTACCGACTCTGTCTCACGGGCTGGTCCATCCCGCTATTCATCCTCAAATGGCGCCCGTGCGTTCTTACCTCTGACTAGCTGCCGCCGATAGGCCACACCACGTAAGTCACATTTTATTTTATAACAACCCTTACTAATTACCATTGCAATAGAATCCCTTGTAGAAACTTACGACTGTATATGGATATTGAATTCAGTATTGGATATGATAAGGTAAAGTTTTGGAGAATATCATAAGCAAAAGATAGGTTTCCAACACTAAACAATCCGTACTTGAATATATAGAAATCTCTGCTACTTCTGGTCGAGATATCTTCCATTGTATTGCGTAACTATTGCTTAACTAATGTATAGCGTAAACTTTACCTAACAATTCAAGTCAGCCTATATTTATGTCAATTTCTGTATGGTCGCAGACCCCCTTGACTCTCGGTGCGTGCGTGCTGCCCGCGCCAGCGCTGGGCTCGCCGGGTGCGTCAGTTCCACCCCCGGCGCACCCTTCGCACCCCTCGCACCCTCCGCACCCCTCGCACCCAGCTCACCCAGCTCATCAAGCTCACCCAGCTCACAGCGCGCCCTGTTCCACGCTGTTCGTCGCGAACCTGGGACAGTTCGTGTCCGAACATGAGCTCAAGGAGATATTCAGCAGGTACGAACATTCATTTGTTGGGAAGTATCGACTGGAATATTATATATCAAAACTGTTACTTACTTGTCTTGTAATATTCAATAAAACTATATTTATAGAATGAAACATCGCTGAACTTGATTGAATATCAATTTACCAATGAATATTTTAATATTTTTTTTGTGGATATTTATCACAAACCCTTTTTACTTTCAGCGAGAACCCTCGTCTTATGCTTAAGTATGAGGATACATACTTTAACATGATAAAATATTTCCAGTCGATGCAAAAAAAATAAATGTCTGCATGTAACAATATATAAAAGTATGAAAATCGATAACACATAGTCCATTGAATAGGTAAAATTAATGTGTATTCTCCACAGTGCATGTCGCACAGATTGTCACTCTTATATTGTCGATATGTTAAGACGTCGTCTCACACTAACTGTGACCGCGATCAGCCTCCCAGTTAGTGTGAGATGTCCAGCACCTCACCCGCATGAGAGTCGACTGTACACACCACACTAAACCGAGCACCATAACATAAATGTATGCACCGTAAACAGTATCACACCTCCGAATTTAACGGGTTGGTCCCACCCACCCAATTCTGGTAACGCTGTTAAAGCCATTAGGGCTAACAGCTACAGACAAGTCGAACAAAAAGTATCACACGAGCAGACAGTGACACCAGACAGTACTTTGATCATGAGAACATTCGGCTCGCGGATGATCCACGAAGACGTTCATGATACGGATACACGAGGTTATATGATACCAGCTGTGCGGGCTTCAACCGCCTGAGGATGCTGTCGAGCGGGAATGGGCCGGTGGCGTTCGTGGAGTTCGCGACTACAAGGGACGCGGCCGCAGCCCGAGCGTCCCTCCAAGGCGCCCTCCTCCTCAGCTCGGAGACAGCCCTCCAGCTGGAGTACGCGCGCCACAAGTCTCCGCACACCTGGATACTAGCATATGAAGTATGCACGATACCTCACGGATTCATATAACATACGATCGCTTTCCTTTATATAAGAAACCGTGTCGTATCCAGATTCGATTCCCATGCATATGCTATGGGTACCGAATCGCCGCACCATGCACCATGCACTTTAGTATATATAACAGTTTAGTCAGCTAGATGGGGTAAGTTGAGTCTTAAACTATTTTTCGATCTTCAGGGAGCCAAAAGCGGAGAAGAGGTCGAACAGCATTAACTCCTTCGTGGCACTCGGCACTTGACAATCAGCTAACTGAGGCACGTATTATTTCGATCCCGGACCAACCTGGCGTCGTCACTAGTACCAAGACAGCGCGGGCTAACACTATCAAGTATTGTGACCACAAGTTTGTATAATTAAACTCAATACGCCGCGTTTATCAATCATTTAAAAAACTCCAAACTGTCCGTATTGAGTATAAACATACAGACTTGTGGTAATGATGCAGATCGTCTTTCATTTACGTTTCCCTCTAATGTATTGTAGTTCAGAGGGTGTGGTGTTATACCAAATGTAGTTATAAATTGTATGATTATATTAACATTCCAATCTATTGTTTGAAACATCCTTATAACGTGTTTATTTAATATATTATTTTTTATATGTAACATAAGATTTATTTACACTAACTTATTGTATATTAGTTTCTATGGCCGACGTATCGTTTGGAGGTGTTTGTTACTGATAGCTAGGTTACATCTCATTCTAATAAGCTAAAAACCAAAGGTGCCCTTCATAGATACATTACGTTTTGTTGATGATATCATTCGAGTTAAATGATTTTTAATCTATGTAAATGATTAATATACTTTCTTTGTTTTAGTCTCGATAATGTTAGAGTATTTAAATGAATTTTTCACTTCTATCTCAAATTATATTTACCTGAATGCTTTTTTTTATGTTATATCTTTATACGGTACGATCACTCGTTAAGTCGCTGGCACTCTAGTGTCTGTTTCGATATCTTTCTATGTTAATTGATTGCAATAAACTTAATGTAACTGAAGTGACGATGGCGGCCCTCGGCCCATCAGAGTGCAATACTCACTGAACGCACGGAACTCGCATCGTATCCATTCATTCACTCACTCATTCACTCATTCATTCATCCATTCGTTCAATCAATCATTCATTCATTCATCCATTCATCAGATCATTCATTCTCATCGTTCCTAATTCCCTCTGCCCTCACCCTAAAGTCTTGTGCCTTGCGGAAACATTTTCCCGAATACATCATAAAATCGTGCCCCTTCTCATATACATATACATATAAGGATTTCGTTGAAATTCTTGATCATTCAATGCATACGATGCGGAGACGTCGCTTCGTGATCGTTGCGAGAATTTAGCCTTGGCCTTATGAGAATAATATAGTATAATAATATGTAATCATTATACTAATTAGTAATTTCTAGTTATAATTATATTGTGACGAGCGTCATGCTGAATAGTCAATAAAATCATTCTATTTGCATGCTTCGACGAGCTTCGGTAATGTATTAATGAAAGAAAAATATTAATAAATCTTGTAGTTACGTCGTGTAATCATTAGACGATTAAATTAGATAAGGGTATTTATTGTAGAGGTCGGCGTAGTGACGCCGCTGCGACAGTTAATATTACATAATAAAAACGGTGTAACGTTAAAAATAACTGTTACTTATAATACAGATGAATAATATATATATTATTTTTAGTTAGTTGACTTTATCGTTGACCGTCACCCCTCGACGGCGTGGTGGCGGAGCGAGATAGCAATAAACCAAAAAAAAAATATTAAATCTTAATGTTTACTATAGGTATAGATGTATTCTGCTGATGTAAAAATTATAACAAAAAAAAAAGTAAAAAAAAATATATCCCCCGCTTAGGCTTCTCTATAAGATTCGGATCGTGAAATGTTGAGACGACTGTTCGTTCGTCTGTTCGTGAAGACCCATATCGTGACCACTCGGTGTTAACGCATGTGAATTCTTATGAAATCTCTTAGTCAATATGATATGTCAATTTTGTGACTTAGCGAAATTTTATACGTTATTTATAGGACATTCATACCGGGCGCCGCTGATGACAGACCAAAGAAAATAATATACTTTATATATAACTGGGATTGTTACCGACCCTTTGTTGGTTGACACACACTGGCTGTTACGAAGCTAAGGTTACACTATGGTGTGATCCACGCTATCCCCGTAAACATATGAATAGTTAATTGGTATGTATCATATTATATGATTCACTCTACTTCGACTTTCTATTTCGGATATATGAAAAATCTCGTGCGTGAATACGTCGCGAACTTAGAAGAAATTGTAAGCTAATATTTTTACGAAGTATTTATTAGGTATAATGAAAGTTAAATTTAAAATTTATCAATCAAGATTGTAATTTTTGTTTTCGTCAAAACGTTATTATCGGTTTCTCTTGTATTCTCGAACACAGTCGGTTTTAATATGTAAGCTAAGTCAATGTTAACTTATATTCTATATATTACGCTAATTAATTCGTATGTAAGTATGTGTAATGGTGTAGTAGCGATCTCCCAAACCCTGGTTACCGTCGTCCCAGCGCGTACCGAATACAACGAAAAGTTATAATTTTCTTTTCAGATTCATTTTGTATTTGTATACTATGGTAACGTGAGTTTTGTGTGTACTATTTTAACTCTCGTTACCAAGTGTACTGTAAGTTAATCGAGCCGGCGCGGGCGTGGTAAGGATCTGTATTCTATACGGTAACTGACTAGTTACAGCCCGCGGCTCCGCCTGCGCTAGGGATGACGGTACCATAATGATTCCGTCCAATCGTAGCTAGCGAAGTAATAGACGTCCAGTAGCTACGGACTACGGCTACGTCATTTGCGGGACTACTCGATACATATCAACGTCTTATATATATATAATGTAATTAGAGTTACAGCGCGCTATCATACATATCTGTATTCTATCTACTTCTTATGTGTTCGGCTACATGTCACGGTGATGTGTTTCTGTTGACGTTACTTCACGCTTCGCGTATAGTTTCCGCTTGGATGTTTTCTTTACGGATGTATATCGTGGATGTTTTGGTTCCATCTGATCGGATCGACGACCCGATCCGCGTGACATTGGCCACCATGTGATAGTGTAGGTAGGGGTAGCGCCTTGCAAGTTAGGTTAAGTGAAGCGGTTCATAACAAATACCGTGCATCGAAAACATATCAAATCTGTGCCCCTTATTAAAATAATTAAAGATAAAAAAAAAACATAAAGTAAATCTAAGAGATACATATGGATAGCATAAATAAAGAAAATAATCTTTTTTGAGTATCAGATACATAAGTGTTGTTTGTCGTGAGTTGGAAATATTAGTGAAGCGTTGTTTCGGTTTGGAGTTAGTATTGAGAGTAGTAACCGAGTAGTGTCGCGAGGTTCGTTTCAGTTTTACCGCTGGTAGTGTTTTTATATAATTTCCTTTGTTATATCTAGGCTAATGATAAATATGGCTTAATTACCAAAACATTTGTAGCAGTATTAATAAATCTTTTTTTTTTGTTTGTGTTTTTTTTGTATTATTATTATTTAATTTTCCTCGCTAGCGCGTCGCCGCAGAGTTATTTGTATATCGAGCAATTTAAAACATACAAAGTATATAATTAGTAATTAATTGTTAGATTTGTGTGAATCGGATTATTTAAAGCTTCTAGGGCGATGGTGGAGTGTTATTGTGGTATAAGAAAAAAAAAATACATAATGACATTGTATAAATAGTGATAAATTTAGCTTAATTATATAATTATTACGACTTTTATAGATGTTCATTATTTTCCTTTCTTACTTCATGAACTATTGTGGTTGGAGACGTCATTGTTAATTCAAATAAATTTGAGATCATCCTCTATCGAAGTTTTTATTCAACTACCCCCAGAAACCATCTTATTAACCTGTTTTAAAACTGAATCTGACTTGTTTTAACTTTCAAATAGTTTGTCAATTTATATTAAATTCTACATACAAATAGATATATTTTAGTGTATTCGACATTAGACATGTGATTTGAATTCAGTGGCTTGTAGTCCAATGACTGACACTCGTCTTTTAAAACAAGTTTTATGATAAAAAAACAGTTTTACAAAACAAGTGTCAGTTGAACGCTATTACATCATTTAATGAAAATTTGTGGCAGTGTTGTAAATGAATAGATATAAAGCATAGGGTCCAAACATTGCGAATAAAAACTATGTGAAAATTGTGTTTGTTTCTTTATAATAAAAATATTTATTTTACATTCTCCTTTATTAAATATATTGTAAATTTTATATTTAATATATATGTTTATAAAGAATAATAAAGTCCTACAGCTAACAATCATAAACATAGCATAAACTGTTCATAGTTCACAATATTTGAATGGGTTTTGTCGTCGGAATATGTTGGAATTCTGTTAAAAATGAAGAGTTTTTGAATTTTTGCTAATGAACATGTCGACAATAGGCGGTCGCTATTGTCTATCTATGATTGTAATATTTCATTTTTTTACTACAAAAAAAAAGACCAAAAGTTCACTAATTATCAGTCACTTCGTTTTGTTCGTATATTTTTTCATATATTCCATAACGGATCGTATATATCTTGTATGATGTTCAGATTATAATTACAAAAGTTCTCAATGCATGCCATCAGTGTGGCTTTCGTATTATTTAGACAATTTAAAGCTGGTGCGACCTCATTCTGAAGGGTGGAGAAGATTACTGAGGTTACATTAATAACGCATTAGCCGCAAACTCGGAAACTTTAGGAGTGATGTGACATTATACTCCGTACTGAACCGAGCCTACTAATTAATTTAACACTTCTCTCCTGGTTAACCGTATTGTGTGATTTTAATGGAACGTTCCTAATGGACCATGTTATAACAAACAGTAAGCAATATGTTAATGATAGATATTTTAACACAACTGGTAGACCACAAAATATAAGTATATATACTGAAAAGTTTAAATCATTGTTTTCAAATATAAATTAAGGAGC